TTTATTTATTTATTTATTTATTTATTTATTTATTTATTTATTATGTTCGCGATTTACGCTTTAACTCGAAAACGCGAAACGCGTTTTTAAGATTAAAGTAATATTAATATATAAAAAGCCGTTATTACTTATTAAAAAGTTAATTTATACAACGAAACGTATTTATTATTCGAGAAGTATAACACCGTTTAATTTCACGCAACCTTTTTTTAAATTTTATTAATTTTAAATTACTTTTTTTTTATTTTTTAAAGGTCGTTAAATTATTTTTAATAATCGGTTATATAAAAATAATTTTTTTTATTTAATTTTTAAATTTTTTTTTTCTTTTTTTATTATTAAATAATTATTAAAATAAATAGTTTTTAAAATAATTTTATTAAAAAAAGTTTTATAAATATTTTTAAAATTATTAATTTTTATTTAATTAATTCTTTTTATATTTTATATAAAATTATTAATATTTTTAATAATTTCTTTAAATTATTAATAAATTTAATTAAATCTTTTTAAATTAATTATCTTTTTTTTTTAAAATTTTTTTAAATTATATAATTTTTTTTTTAAATTTTTAATTTTATTTTAATAATTTTTTTTAAAACTTTTTAATATTTTAAATTATATTTATAAATTTTAATAAATTTTAATATTAATATAAATTAATTATTTAAAAATTTATTTTTTAAATAATATAAATATTAATAATTTAATAAATTTTAATAATTTAAAAAATATTAATTATTTAAAAAAAATATTTTAAATAAAATTTTTATTTTTAAATAAAAAAATTTTAATAATTAAAATTTTTTATAATATTATTATTATTTTCTTTATTTTTACTTTTTTAAATTTTTACGCGTTTTATTATTTTATTTTTTTAAAAGAAAATTATATTTACGTTATAATTTTATAATAAATTATTTAAAATTTTAAAAAGTTTTAAAATTTTATTTGTTTTAATTAAATAAATATAATAACTTTTAAAAAATATTTAATTTAAATTAATAATATATTAAATTTTTATTTATTAA